ACCGCTTGCTCGAGTTCAAGCTGGCCAAGCTGACTCTTCAGCTTCTCCTCCAGAGCTTTGACTTGTGTATCATCCATGGAGTTTTATTCAAACAATTTCAATGGAACTCTGATTCTTGATACTGCTCTAAATTCGAACAAGACAGAGATTAAGGTTAGGGTTTTAGAGACCTGCAACTTGCAATAAAGCTTCAACTTTTGTTGTTCAAGGAAGACGCAATTTTCTCGGTTTTTGAGGGCGGGTCGGATCGGGTACGGTTCGGTCCTACCATTAACCAACTCTAAATCGAATCGAATAGACACAAAGCCGGTATCTAAACCCCAGACACTAGGATCTGCGATTGAAAGCCGGTTTGGATCTTAAGCGACACGGCGCGTTTTGCTTCTTAGAGAATGGGTCTTGGACTTGGGCTTCGAGGAGAGTCCAGCCCATGACAACCTCAGGCCGTTAATCTGTTTTTTTTTTTTTTTACAATCGGCCGTTAATCTGTTGTAGACAAGTTTTCTCTTCTCTTCTCCTTCCAAAAGAGAGTCAGATAATTTTACTTGTTTGAGCAAAAAATAAAAAGAAAACTAGATCAAATGCACTTTTAAATCAGATAATTTTACTTGTTTGATACATTGTTTGTTAATTTACTAAGTCTTTTAAGTTATAGTTTAAGAGTTTAAGATATAAAAAGTGATAAAATTCCAAAGAAGATGATAATAAAAGCAACTAGACCATTATCAATTTTTGAAATGTGACCCCCATTTCTGCTAAGGCTTTCTTTGCCCGACTCTGATCGTTACAGTGGATTGCAAAGGAAAGAAGAATTGGTGATACTGTTCCGCGGTTGGAAAACTAGCTCGCCAAAACATACATACTTTGTTTAAAGTCCTAAAAATGTTTTTATGTTCTTTGTTTATTGTGAGTTTGTGACCTCTCTATAACCTGATAAACTCGAAACCATACAATGGATTCAACGGCAAGCTAGAATAGTATTTGTAACATCTACATTATTCCCATTGGAAGGAGGAAAAGTAATTTAATTTTTAACTCCAAATGGTAAACCAATCGGGTTGAGAAGAAGCTAGGACCAATTAAGCAATTACGCTTTTGAGGACACATAAAGTGAAAGTTCAAATTCTTTTTGGTAACAATTATAATGTTGGTACTAACAAAAGTTAGTTAGATATATAGTAGTGGTCTGAACTGTATAGGGATAAATTGTGTGTATATGTATATACTAAATTTATATAAGAACTAAAATTATATGCATACGCACCGTTAAAAACTAAAATTGTTGTATTGTAGTTTAGGTAGAATAGTTAAACTTGAATTTGTATTGTAGTTTAAGTGGAATTCTTAAAATTGAATCTGTATTGTAGTTTAGGTATAGTATTTAAAATTAATTTTGTATTGCATTGTAGTTTAGGATAAATAGTTAAGATGGAAATCATCTTAAAATTCAATTTGTAGGATAAATTTGAAATGGAAATAAATCTTCTTAGTAATTTAGGTAGACTGCTTAAACTTGAATTTGTAATATAGATCGACTTTGGAAAAATTTCTTTTAATATAGGAAGAATGGCTAGAATAAAATTAATTAAGAAAGATAAAAGGAAGAGGTTTAATTGTTTGTAGGGTAAAAGAAATCTTACTAGTTGGTTTGCAGACATCATGCCATGATAAAATAGTCACTATTCGAAAGAATTTGCTATTCAAAGAGTGTTTTAGTTCAACTTTTCGAACATTAACAATATTAGTTTTTCTAGTTTTTTCTTTCTTAGGTTTCTTGAAATATTTTAGCATCTTTCAATAGATCCAATTGTATTTTGATCTAAGATACTATTATCAACCAATGAAACTACGAGATATTTCAGAAAAAAATTACAAGAAGATTTCAACGTCATGATCGAGCTTAAACGAAAGCAGATCCGAGAAAGGAAACAGGAATAAAGCTTGAAGTTGTGGAGATATTTCTAACCTTTGGAAATCGAAAATGGCAGCCGCACAAAAACTCTCCAGCAAAAGACGAAGACACAAAGTTGAACAAGAGAACTAAATACAAGATGCGAATTGGGCTCTATTGGGCCTTTCTTTAAATCTAGTAGATCGTCAATCCAAACGCCGCCGTTTCGTTGGAGGTAAGACTCTTACTGGGTTTCACATTTCTTCTTTTACTTGTGTGTTTCAAATTCAGGTTTCTTTCTGTTTGTTGTGATGGCTAAGAGATTCACAACACAGCTTTTCGTCAGCAGTAACGATAAAACTTTTCTCATCTTCACTTATAAATTCTCAGTTATTATTTATAATCTGCTTTTCTCAGTTTTTGAATTTTTATTTTCAATTGCAGGACTCTCTGCTTACACCACAGATCAATCACTGAGGCAACTGTTTGCGCCTTTTGGTCAGATTATAGAAGGTACATTCACAAAATCTGATTATGTGTCTCTGCTCTGATTATGTGTCTCTGCTCTGATTATGTGTCTGAACTAATTGTGTAGTGTGTATGTTACTGTTCTTAGCTCGTCTTATTAGGGACCAGCAAACACAAAGACCTAAGAGCAACCCCAATGGAGGGGCCTAGAGAGACTCTTAGCTCTGAATCCTTAAGAAAAGAGGTCCAAATTAAATAAAAAATGTGGATAAAGATAAGAAACGTACCTTAGTTTAGAGTTTTTTTTGTCTGCAAGAGTCCATACGTGTCAGTTTTCTATTGGTGTGCATAGAGAGAAAACAATTAATTTTTCCCCCTCTCTCTCTCTTCTCTTGTAATCTCCGATGGCTGCGAAATGAAGAACATGGTCTCGACTCTCGATCATCATCGTCGAAGTGTTTAGATCATCAAATCGTCAGAGAAAATCCGAAGAAACTGGTCTCCTAGCCGCCGTGATCAAATCGTGATGAACTAGGGTTTTTTGAATTGGTAATTGATGAATTTGGTCACAGACAAATTCTTAGAGAAATAAACAAGGTCCGTTCTCTGAATCCTCAAACATCGATTCTCTAGATCTAGAATTATCTTTAGCATCATCTTTTGATTTGATCTCTCTCTAATCTGGATCTTCCTCAGCGATTGATGGTTTATAAATAGCTTGAGTGACTTGATCTTTGCGTGAACACAGGACCGAATTTGAATGGATTGTTTGGAAGACAATCTGGAACAACACCAGGATACTCATACTCTGTTGGGAGGAGAAGACTCTTTACGATTACTTGTTGAATCCTAAGAAGGTATTTGATTGTTCTTTATTATTCCTTAATGGATTTCAATAATAGAGTCTGGCGAAAATGAGGTTCTTGATGATTGTTCATAAGCTAACTCGTGGATTTATACTCTTTTGATTATAGAGGTTAATCTGTTGCAGAAAAAATTAGGTGTTTTTTTTTGGTGTGTGCAATATATCTAAAAAATGTGTCATTTGTTTTCTATTGCATGTTTAAGAATTTCACCAAGAACTTAGCTGCAGCTTCTAAATTGGTTAACGAGGTTCCACCATGATTCTCTAGTTTTCTTGCTATTATTATGTCTCTGTGTTTTTAGATGAAATGGTCTCATAACCGAATCACCGATCAACATTGTCTTTCTTTTTGCTAGAATATTTAGGCAAAGTTAAATGAGGTAACTTCTTTGGTAGGACATGTTATGCTTTAGAAACTATGAGAGGCCGTATGGATGGGAGAAACAGAGAAGCGGTGGAAAAAGCAATCTCCATGGATAGCTTTACTAGTAAATGTGATAGTTTTGTTTGCACTCTCGCTACCATAGCCACTTCTTCTTTTCCATATGGTATTACGCCTTTACGATGACTTGAATCAACTGTGAAGGGTGTTAATAAAATTATGCAGTCTTTTGTGTCTTGTAGGTTGAGGCTCTAGCCGCTAAGTTAACTCAAAATGAAGGTGAATTAATTCAAGATAAGTTTGAAGTGAAGAAACTGGCAAGCTTCATCAAGAAGGTCTTATAAGTTTCCTTTTCATGTTTAATACACTGTAATTTTGTTAGACATTTACAGATTCAATATATTCTCTTCTAGCTTGGTTACTTTTTTTAACAGTCAATTTATGTCTTGTATGTTTACAATTTTAGGAAATTATAATAATTATTAAGTTTTATCAAATAAAAATGTTTACAATTTTTTATTTTAAGATCAATATATTATTTTAAGAAACTTATTTAAGGACTCTACCATTGGACAAAATTTTCTATAAGGATTCAACATAAACTCTTAATTTTCAAATTGTCATAATTTATAATTAAAAAATGTTTAAGAGTTTTTTTAAGGACTCTACCATTGAGCTTGCTCTAAAGGTTTCGGATTCATTACTTTCGAGTCTGAGGATGATGCACAAAACGCTTTGAAAGCTTTGAATGGGAAGGTGACCATCCAATTCTTTAATCGTCACTCACTCTTGTAATGTAGTATTCATTCTTGGCTAAATGGATCTCAAATCAGAAAAATCGTGTGTTCGGCATAATCCTTATCGATTCAAGGAAAATATTCAACATTGGTGTATAAAGAATTGAGCTACTTTGAAAATTGGACTGAGTTTTGCATATGGTTGTTTGTTTTCAGATTGTTAAGGGCAGATTAATATTTGTGGAAGCTGCAAAGGAAGTAGAAGCACCAATAACAATTATGAAAAAGTAACAAGGCTTGAAGAGTACACACTGTCATTACAAAACGACTAAAGACTCTTTCACCAAATCATTCTAGAGTTCTACATTGTCACAATTCTAAAGAGTAAATGCATTTCCTGAGAGATCTGAAGTTTCAATTTGAGTTGAGGAGAATCATTTCTGATTCTGATATAAACCACTTTTCGGTTGAGCATATTCGACTCTAATGTTTCTTCCTTCTAGTAACTGAACAAAAGACAGAACATAAAGTCAGCAAGACTGTTGTCTATGAACAGTCAAGCTTTTGTTAGAATGTCTTTTTTTTCTGGATTGGTTTTGTGTACAAACCTGATTGTTCATGGAAGCTAAAGCACTTGCAGCTGCTTCTTCTGAATCAAATAACACAAAGCCATAACCTTTTGATTTCCCGCTCTTGTGATCGCATATTACTTTCACTGAACTTTCACATTCAACAAAAATAAATCAGGAATTGCATTGGTTTTATACATGGAGGAATTTTGCACAGGACTAATCAGATTTCATGGCGATTCGTACCTTCAATAACTTCACCGTACTTTTCAAACTCATTCTTCAAAACAGGTTCATTGGTGTCATAAGATAGCCCTGCAGTAGCGTTAACACATTCAGTGTTCTCTTTCACGCATTTTATCAAACATTTAGAGTGCACATTTTGTATCATCGAAAGAAACAATATTGACCTTATGTGTTCTACGGTAAACAGATTTTCTAAAACAATTCTAACAACATTCGCACTATGAATGACACGAAATTGAAGTTAACCAACCGAAATCGAAGAGAGACAAAAAATACCTCCGACGAATAATTTAGAACAAGATCCTCGAATTGTTAAATATCGTAATGAGGATGTTAAGCAATTACGACGAACAAAGAGAGGTAAGAACATTTTAGATTTTGCTTCACCTCAACGATAAATTTAGCACAGTGAATAAAAGGGTGCGTTAATGTCGATGTCAATGTAATTTAATTAAGTAATTCGCTAATGACATTAATACCAGTGGGCCAAAAGATTAGACGAAGCATTTAGATAGGTCATAAAATCATATAATTAGGAAATGGAATTTGAACAACCTTCTAATTCACCAAACACAAAAACAAAGATTAAAAAGCTTGAAATTTCTACAATCACCAAAGCTCAAACACAAACTACCAACGAAAACATAAATAAAACTAAAATTCTAGAAGATTAAGCTTTCTTGGGAGACTTGACTGGAGATTTGGTCGCCTTTTCTTCGGTTGATTTAGTTGCAGTCTTCTTAGGTAGAAGAACAGAATTAATGTTAGGCAAAACACCACCGTGAGCGATTGTGACTCCACTTAGAAGTTTCCCCAATTCTTCGTCGTTCCTTATCGCAAGAAGAAGATGCCTTGGAACGGCGCCAGTTTTTTCGTTAGCATTTTGAAAGTTTAGCGCTTTTTTATTGGATAATTAACAAGTTACACTAATTTCTGGTAAACTAATGTTAGATAAATTATACTTTAATTATGTTAAAAATCCTGATTTTTACATGATCATGATCTAATTTAGAATTATATGTTCGTTGTCTAAAAAGATATTCATCAACCCGCTATTGTAAGAAAAATCTTAATTATGCTTCTTGAGATATTGTGACAATCTAATTATGCTTCTTAAGATATTGCGACAATCTAATTCAAGAACAATTAGAGGCTTTCGAAAATTAGGAATAGTCGTAATTGCTTATAAAGATATATTGAAACTCTTATTCAAAGCGTAATAGGTTTTGCGTGTTTGTTATGACCATGTTATCATAAATTTGATGATCTTAACGGCTTTGGGACATTATGATAAACTTTAATCATGCTTCTAAAGATGGTGAAGCTTTTTTTTTTATGGGTTAAATTTTGTGAAGTCCTATTGTGAGGTCGCATTAGGATTTGATATTGACAAGTGAGTCCTAATCAAGTTAAGACAATCATGTTGATGGTGGGTTTTGGGCACGGGCCCAAACCCCCTTTGAAGGCCCATCATTCCCACGGCCCAGCACTCTTAAAAGATAACCTGAGGCCCGTTTAAGGCCCGATTAGATGCTCCACCGACCAGGAGGGCAAAAAAGACATTTTACACGCACAGGGTACCCTACCCCTGTACTCTATAAATAGAAAAAAGAATGATTGGAAAGGAGATCCCGAAATAATCGCTTTTACAGAGAATATCGTACAACCGTCAGAGCACTTTGCGGCTCGGCTCGTACTCTAAGTTTTTAGCTCGTCTATTTTTGTAATTGTCGGCTCGTTCTTTAAATAAGAGATTTTTCTTTCGCCCTTAAGACTCCGAATACGTACTTGTGTGATTTTGAGAATCAACAGTTGACGCGCCAGGTAGGGGTGAAGCTCGAAGATTTCTCTCAAAACTACGAACCGACGAAACATTAAAGATGCAGACGCATTCCACAACGCACTCGGCGCAAGTGCCTCCAGCTCGGGAGGAGAAGCATATACGCCCGCAGCCGCACCGCCTTCGATACCCCCGACGCCGGAAGGACCTACCGCGGCAGCTACCGGACCGGACCGCACCCGGCACCACGTCATGATGCTCAGTTAACTCCCTCGAACGGACGTAACACGACGAACCCGCAGGTTAACGCCAGAGCCAGGACGAACCAAAGGAGTCAGGACTGCAGCGAACCAGACGACCTGCTTCAAAACATCCTCACGCACCTGAGCCAGCAAGAGGCCAGGACGAACGTGCGACTCGAATCTCTGGCAGCAGCCCAGGCTTGCGCTCAGGATGAAATCAATCGCCTAAACGCAAGTCAGACGCAAGGTGTGCGACCCGCTCAAGGAGACCAAGTGCCGACCCGGCAAATCCATCCTGTCACTTCGTCGAGCGAAAATACTCGAGACCTAGAGCTCGCCGAACTACGACGCATCGTCCAAGATATGAACACAAAGGTTCATAAGGCCACGAGCGCCGCACCGGAACTCGACCGTAATGTGAATTATCTAAGAGGAGAAACTTCAAACCGTCCCACCAACAGTTCCTTTGGTAAGTAAAATAAAGTTTCATGATCCACTCTTCTAGTTCTTGGTGTGTTTACTAAAAAAGTCTGTAGTACTATGATAGATGCATATATGTGACTAGTGACTATTACACTAGCAATTACTTGAATTTGTATGTAGATAATGGATAAAAACAATGCAGTAGCTATTATTGTTTAATATCTACTTGTTTCACATGATTGGTCTAAAGAAGCAAATCAACTTAAGCAAAAGGTTCAACAAACATTGTTAACACCAAAAACAGAACAAAAAAACTAAATGGGCATATCTGGTTTCTTGCCAACATCACAAGTATCCTCTAAGACAGTACCTCCATTGGAGATTTCACCATTGGGTATCTCTGCAGAAGCTGAATCAATGACCTCTTCTTGTTCTTCTTCTACATCTCCTACTTCTTCAACTTCTTCTTCAACCTCTTCTACTTCTTCCATTTCTTCTACTTCATCTTCTTCTTCTTCTTCGATGCATTGTGGCGGGTCTAGAAACGAAGCATCCGGGTCTGCATACCAACGTGCACAAGGCCACCTGAAAGAAATATCCAAAACCCAAGATAAACAGTATTATCATCCAAAAATACGAAAACTTATGACAAAAACCTCTGTTTTATACACCAATCTGATTACTTACACGCTTGAACAAATGGTTTCACCATCAATTGTTGTTGTCTCCTCATATTCATCCACTGAAACAAAAAAAGATCAAATTTTTTATGAAATCTTAACCACAAGAACAAGAAATC